TCTAAAGATGAAATATATCATACTTTTAACAATATCAATCCGTGAACTTAGACATAACATATTTTATAAACCGGTCTAAAAAATGTTAACGTAAACACCCTAATAAAAGTTAATGAAGTTTATACCTTTAAGAAGGGTTCGAAGAATGAATTCCGGATACATAATTGTTACCTCTATTCCTTTAGTAATGTAACGTGAAATTTAGAGAGAAAACGAGAGTTTTTTAGAGAGAGAAAACTGAATTGAGAGGTGGTGATGGTGAACACGATGCCTTCTAATTACATTATATATATATATATATATATATATATAAGTATAAAAAGTTTAGGAGTTTGACAGTTTTCACCCCTCAATACCGACCGTTATTTAAGTACGGTACAGTTTGGGTACATTAACGAGTAAGATTTTAAAATTCAGGTCTTACAATTCTCCTCCCCCCCTTAAAAAGAGATTTCGTCCCCGAAATCGAATTTAAAGATATGGAAATTACTTCAATTTAAGAATTCTTGGTACTCCCGCCACATATGTTCTTTAGTTTCCCACGTCGCCTAGGGGTGAACACGGGTTGGGTTGGGCGGTTTATGACGTTTTTTCAACCCAACCCAATTACGGCGGTTTGAAAAATCTCAACCCAACCCAACCCATTCAAAAGTATAACCCAACCCAACCCAACCCTTGCGGGTTAGGGCGGGTTGGGTTGGGTTGGCGGGTTACTAAAACTCATAAAATTGTCAAATGAAATATGATAAATAGCATGAACAACACAACCATTTACAACTAAAAAAATAGTCAATAAATAACAAAAAAAGTGAAAAACAGAAAAACAAGGTTGCTTAGATGCTTACGTGGTCGTGAAGGAGAACGACGGAGATGGAGGAGAACGACGGCGATGGAGGATGACGGCCACGAAAGGACGATGGCGAAGGACGGACGAGGCGATGGAGAAGAAGTAGGGACGACGGCGATGGAGAAGAAGTAGCGACGGTGATGAGGAATTGAGGATTTGCCGATTTGGGGACTGTTTCTAAATTCTAAGTAGCGAGTAGGAGTAAGCGAGGGTGAAGTGGTGTAGTGGTGTACCAGTGATAGTGAAGCCGTGAAGGGGGAGTAGGACTAGGGTTTGTAATTTTGTTTAATTGTTATTCCTTTTTTGTTGGCCTGTTGGCTGGTTGGGCACTTGGGCTAAGCCTAAGCATTATTGCAAGGGATTATTGGGCTAAGGAATTATTGGGCTAAGGTGTTAAACCAAATTCACAAGTCACAACACATCTTTCATTTTTATAAATATTACATATATATATATATATATATATTATAAAAAATATACATTTGCGGCGGGTTGGCGGTTTGGGTTGGGTTACGTTATGCCAACCCAATTTCAACCCTTCTAATTAGCGGTTTGGCGGTTAGCGGTTTGGCAGTTTAGCGGTTTGGCGGTTTGGGTTTAATCGGGGTTGTTAGCGGTTCGGGTTGGGCGGGTTTCGCGGGTTGGCGGTTTTTTGTTCACCCCTAACGTCGCCTCATATTCCGAATGATTCTTCCAAAGAACTTTTACTAAAGGGATCACTCGCTTTCGTGTACCTCTCTCATCACGATCAAAAATTGCCTCAGGCTCCTCGCGATAAGATAGATCAGGCTCTATGTGCTCCAAGGGATATTCAATGACGTGTAGGGGATGATATATGTACCCTCGCAACGAAGACACATAGAACACATTATGTATGTGGGACAATTGTGGCAGTAGAGCTAACCTGTAGGCCACAGCTCCAACCCTTTTCCAGAATTTCAAAAGGACCAATATATCTTAGGCTGAGCTTCCCTTTGAGACCGAAACGTCTAGTACCACGAGTCGGGGAAACCTTCAAGAAGACTTTATCACCCGATTGGAACTCGATAGGTTGTCGTCGCTTATCAGCGTAGCTCTTTTGACGAGCCTGAGCCTCTTTCATCATTTGGCGTGCAATTTCGACCTTCTCGGTAGTGACTTGTACTAATTCTAGACCTTCTAAAATACGTTCTCCAACTTTATTCAAAGAAGTCGATGTTCAACATTTTCGCCCATAAAGTGCTTCATATGGGGCCATGTAGATACTCGAATGCCAGCTATTATTATAAGAGAACTCGATTAGGTACAAGTAGTTATCCCAACTTCCATGCCATTCCAATGCACATGCTCGAAGCATATCCTCCAATGTTTGAATTCTATTGTTTGGATTGGCCATCAGTTTATGGATGAAAGGTTGTATGAAAATTCAAACTTGTGCCCCACGTTTTATGTAAACCTTCCCAAAATCGAGATGTAAAACGTGGGTCTCGATCGGAGGTAATCGGTATAGGTGTTCCATGAAGACAAACAATCTCACGTTGAAAATTTTCTGTCAACTTACGTAATTCCCAAATATCATAGAAATCAGATTATCTTCTCAAGAATATGATCAAAAGTAGAGAGAGAATTTCACCAAGTTTATGATTTTATATCTTGAAAAGTGATTACAAAATGTGACTAGCATTTTACTCTAATTACACTACTAATCTCTTATTTATACTAAGAAAACATTAAAGACTAACTATTACAAAATAGGAGAAATCTGCTTGATTACAACAATAAAACATAACATTGAACACCACATTCTCCCCCTTTGGATTCAAGCACGAGAAATAGTGAACCTTGACTTTCTAAGCCCCAAAAGAGTTTCAATCCTTCTCAAAGCACTCCGATATTGCAATTTATCATCCAACAGGTTTAACGCACTGATCAGAAGATACCTTTCTTTCATACTCATTTTTTCATTCTCCGCAGCTTTATCATTATCAGCCTTAATTCTTTCAAGAGCCCGTCGCACCAGCTTAATAGTACCGTCACAGTACTTATTCAACTCACTAAACCTCATAAATCTTTTTGCTCTGTCTGCACCATCATATATTACCCCAAACTCCGGATCTTCAAGGATAATAAAAAAAGGATAGCCTTCAATGTCTTGATCAGGTCTTTTCAAGTTTATGATCTTCTGATTACCTTCAAAGACCATTTGAACATCGATGAGCAAAGACAGTTTAACATGGCTCTTCAAATATCTATTTATAGTTTCAAGACCAACGACTGCTCCTTCTCATCTGATAGTAAGATTCCGAAGTTCATGGTATAGATGCTCCAGATCTTCAAGATAAATATTTGGGAAGTCAGCTTCGCTAAATGTCCAGACGTATCCATCTTGTCTAGTAACAGTGAAAACTGGATACCAAACTCTTACGAGTTTATTGGCATCAATAATCTTGATAAATACAATACGATGTCTGGTTCGTACTTGACTGATTGGTAGGCGCTTGGCTTTCAGAAAATGCTTGTATTCAGTACGATATTATCGTGTTTCTTTATGAATACCAAGAATTCTGTCACCACATAAGGCTTTTCGATGATGCACAAAATTCCCAAAGTAGATATCTTCAAGATAAGGTTCTTTGATCCGAGTTCTGTCAAAACTTGGAACGTTAGCACGAATTGCAAAAGGCACATAATTCTTAGAAAAGATCTTGGTAGGATCAAATGCCACATTAGAAGTATCTGAAGCGCCTTGAGAAATTGTGGTGGGATGTTTAGAAGTAGTTTGATGATCAGCCTGAAACGAAAAAATTGGATCATCTTCATTGATGTCTGTTTCAAAGTCAAAGTAGATGTCAGCTGACTCATCAATGTTGTCTATATCTTCACCATAATCTTGAACACCACCCAGTTCTTTTGAAAAACATCATTAAAACCAACATTGGCAGACAAATCCAGTAACAACCTTGTTTCTACAGTGGAGTCTAACGGCTTTTCAACCGTTGGCTCGATAGTAGGATTTGTCTCCACAGTTGTCACTTTCTCAGCTGATTCCTGGCCAATAGTCCTTTCTCTTGAGCTTGCTTGAACAGGACTTTCTACAATAACAGTTTCAGAATCTGGTTCCCCAACAACACCTTCAACACCAATTGACGACTCAACCAACCTTTGTCGTTTCCTCTCCCCCTCAGGGTGATCAGAATCGTCCTGATCATCATGCCTTTTTTTCAAAGAGGTGGCCTGAGCTCGACATGTATGTTCCAAAGTTGATACCCTTTTGGCTAAGGCATCAATGGAATTTTGCATTAAAGAAAGTGCTTGAGTGTTAGAGGCAATTATAGTACTTATTTTGGAGAAATTAGTAGCTACAACATCTTAGAAAGCCAAAAATTCTGAGGCCCTTACGATAGGATTCTCATTAACTTGCTATCTTAGGAGCCCAACCAAATCTACATCTGCCGCATCAGGATTATGAGGAGAAATTAACTTTGCATATAATAGCAACTTCAGCTCATCCACCGATTGTTCTTGTTCCCTTGGAGGTTCAGCAGCAGGCAGTGGTGACGGCACAGATGGTTAATCTTCAATTACTGACTCTTTTCCCTTCAACTTTCGCTTCAAGTTCAGGATTTGATATGTCATGGTATCCTGGACAGCCTTTAGGGCGTCATCCAAATATTCCCGTGACACAAAGTCGGGTAAGATAACACCTGGATCACTTAGATTGCCAGTTGTAACAACAGTTGAAACAACTGTTGTGCCTACGTTCAGTGTTGGCAAAATGATAGCATTGGTAGGACTTCCGACCTGTCCTTGTGGTAAGTCTACAGATTCCACTCGGGTCGTTCCGGCAAGTTCACAAAGAACTACAGATTGAGCAACGGATGCTCGAGGTGCATTGAATCGATGTCGTAGGCTAGGGCAGAGGGCTACTATTTTTAATATCTACATTCTCCAAGTTAGAAGCAGATAGAGTATGTGTTATGTCCCTGTGAGAAGATGAAACAATTGCTTATTGAGAAGCAACTGAGTGGCTAGGGGGGTGTGCATTTGCATAGCTGGGCTAGCTATGTCTGTTTCAATATCAACATTCAACACATGAATGTCAATAGCAGATGTGGGTGCCCGGCTAAGTGTTTCAGCTGGAATAGGATCATATTCTTCATTTTGAGCTCCACACTCACCCTCTCCATTTTTTTTCTCTGTCCCCTTCACTCAATCTCTCAACATTTTCAACTTGAACTCCATCATCTTCTTGAAACGAAATAGCATCCAATAATTGATGCAGTTCATCGTAATCATTGCCAAACTCATCAATATCAAAAGATAAGCTCTGAAGAGTCGGACAAGTTTGTTGATCTTGATTTTCACCAAAAATGTTATCAAGATTATCTATTATCGCGCCCAATTGAATGTTTTCAGAAACAGTAGGATGAGCATCAACATCATCATCATCATCATTATTATCATCATCATTGTCACCAACCTGAGTTGCCTCATCATCTGATATAATATATTTCGAGCTTGAAGAAGTTGTAGAAGTACTTTCTGTTGAAGTTTGAGCAGATCAGAGTCTCCCCTCGTCAAACTACCCCTCTCATTCACATTTTCTCTCTGCTCACTTCCCTGTTCAGGTACCCCCATGTGCCTGAACTGTCTCAACTATATCTATACCCTCTCGCTCAGCTGAGACATGGGTGGATCCCGGGGCAAGTTCAACCGGTTCTGGCTGAACTATAGGATCTATAACTCTCCTATAATCTATCACACATTAAGCACTCTGATAAGCATAAGCAAATAACTCAGGTGGAATCTCCATGATAGATTCCAAATCTTCAACTTCTGTATGAGATCTAATATATTACATAATGAACGACGACCCAACTTCATTGGTTTCTCTGGTCGGAATATCAGCATTTGCATTCATCATTGCCTTAATGACAAGTTGAAGAAATCTTTGAAATGGTAAAAACTTCCTGGCTTCTGACGGAAATCTTTTTGCATTGACCAACTCGACCAGTTCATTCCAGATAATGAGCGCGAAGTCGTAATGACGATTGAATACAATTCCATGGAAGAACTTCAGAATTGGACTGTTGCACGTGTCAATCCCGACAGTTTTTGACGTTAAGCACCAGTTGAGTATTGAAAATTGTAAGTGTCATATTGAAGGAAGGAATCGTCTTTTGAATTGAGACGGATTAGTTAACTTTTGCGAGTATCCTAATCGTCTGATGTCTCTGCATAATTCATCATCAGAAATAAGCTGTTCGAAACCGGAAGGAATTGGTGCTCGTAATCGTAAGATTCTCCGAAGTCTTTTCAAAGTCAAACGACTTGTGTATTCATCAACATTCCCTTCAAAGTAAAAGATATCACCTTCTTTTGATAGAGATAAGGTGTGCTAGAACTGCTGTAAGTAGACCATCGGGACTTCTGCAGTAGCTGAAAGGGCGTATGCAATTAGGTGTCCACGAAGGATTTCAGGAATGATTTTATATTCACAAGGCATATCAAAATTTAAATGGTGGTTATTTGGCTTAATTTCTAGGTAAAGGTATTTTGGGAGAATGATTCATCTGGAATGAGTGTATTTATTGGCTGGGTTGGGTTATTGATGTTATTTGATCTGACAGAGGGAATATGAGATTCCTCGTCAGATCGTTGATGTTCATCAGCCATTTTTTCTATAAAACACAGAATGTTAGATCTAGAAATGAATAAATTTGACACAATATCAACACCAGATATAAACCTAACCACATGATTTACCAAGAAAATTTGAAATTCCTTTAAATGGCTTAAAACAATATCAGAAAGTAAAAAAAAAGAAAAAAAATTTCAAAAATTAAGAAAAAAAATACTCACACAAACAAAACAAAACAAAACAAAAAAGATAAGAAATAAAGAAATAAAAATAAAAATAAAAAACTTAATCATAAAAAAATAAAACTAAAACTAAAAAAAATAAAAAATAAAATAAAAAAAATCCTAACACTAAAATCAAAAGAAATAAAAGAGAAAAAATTTAAACAAAATAAATCACCCGGATTAACAATCCGGATGAAATGAAAAACCAAAAAAAAAATCCAAACACTCTAAACCGGACAAGATCAAAAAGACTAAACCGGTTAAGGTTGAGCGGAGTAAACTCCGATCACTGTCTCCGGTGACTAATCCGATCAAAAACAAAAAAAAACACAAATCGATTAAATCAACTAAAACCTAAACCACTTTAAGAAGACATCGATTAAAAAAACTAAAAACGACTAAGCCAAAATCGGTCAAAAACTGATTAAACAAACAAACAAATCCTAAAACTATGAACAATTCAAGATTCAAAACCCTTTTTCATTAGGGTTCTTGAGCGATTTAAGTTTTGATTACTGTTATGAACTCATTTTTAGATATTCAGGATTGAAATTCAATAGTTAAGTCCATAGGTTCAAACAATGAATTAAGTCCAAACAGATATGTAATCGGACCTTAGTAACAGGGATTAATCAAGAAGATAAGAATCAAAGAAGAAGAAGAAGAAGAAGAAGAAGAAGAAGAAGAAAGTCTTGAGAGCAAGTTCATGCGATGTTGATGATGAACAGTGCTGAGCGATGAGAGTAAAAGTAAAAAGTGAACTGTAGAAATCAGACGAGTATATATAAGAAAGTAAAGCCCTTCAATTACTAATCCGAACAAAGAGATGTCTGGATTAAGATAAATCGAACAAAGGGTTGTTCGATTTAGGCTCTGTCACACCACGAAGTCACTAAACCGGATAGATGAAAGATTAAATCGATTGACTCTTCTTCCGGTGAAACAAAAACCGGATGACTCAATGAGCGATAAATGCTTAAATCGCACAATACAAATGATAAAGACTCAAATCGCACAAACTCCAAGCGATGAAGATGTAAATCGCACAATACTAGAAGCGATTTACACTTAAATCGCATAATACTACAAGCGATTTACACTTAAATCGCACAATTCCTTAAGCAATTTAGCACAATGATCAAAAGCATATCTAATCTTATCCGGATAAGAGTTTATCGAATAGTTTTTTGCCCGGGTTAGTCTAAATCGAACATTACTTTGTCCGGATATAAGATATATCGGACAAAGTGTTGTCCGGATTTGACTAAAACGGTCATACACTTATTCTTTTAAACTCTAAATCTTTCAAAATTTAGATATTGTAACAATACATGTAAGAAAATTTTTAAACAGTTATTACATACAGATATGTTAACTCCCCCTCAAAAAATGAATCAGTAAAGTTAATATAAAATTCAACACTCCCCCTCAAATATAGATTTCATCATCCAAAGATTTTAAATCATATATAAAAAAATGAAATATTGATTTGTATTAAGAAATACAGATATTTTTGAAAGAATGCATTTGACTTAAACACAGTTCAATAAATAGAACTGTTTTTAAGAAAAATTCAAATTTTCAAATTTAACATACCTAACTTAGATACAAGAAAGCTGAAGCGTTTTTCATCTAAAGCTTTCGTAAATAAGTCAGCTAGTTGAAATTATGTATTTACAAAATATAATTCAATAATTCATTTTTCAACATTATCTTTAATAAAGTGATACCGGATATCTATATGTTTGGTCTTAGTGTGTTGAACAGGATTACAGGATATAGCTATTGCCCTTTTCGAATCACAATAAATGGAAATTTTATTAAAATGAAAACCGTAATCTCTGAGCTGTGTCTGCATCCAAAGTACTTGAGAACAACAGTTAGCAGCAGTTACATATCCTGCTTCAGCGGTAGAGATGGATACACAGTTATGTATTTTGGAAACCCAGCTTACGAGTTTGTCTCCCAGAAATTGTACATGACCCGAAGTACTCTTCCTGTCCAACATACACCCTGCGTAATCTGCATCTGAGTATGTTTTTAGTTCAAAGCTAGTACCCTTTGGATACCAGAGTCCAAGATTGGCAGTCCCTTTCAAATAACGAAAAATGCGCTTAACGGCACTTAAATATGACTCCTTTGGATTAGCCTGATATCTGGCACAAAGATGTGTTGAAAACATAATATCCGGTCTACAAGACGTTAAATACATTAAAGAACCAATCATGCCTCTATATGTTTTCTGATCTAGAGCTTTTCCAAATAGATCAACATGTATTTATGAACCATGAGCCAAAGGTGTTTTACTTGATGAACAATTTTCCAAATTAAATTTCTTCAAGATATCAAAAATATATTTTGTTTGGCAGATAAAAATTCCTGAAGATAGTTGCTTGACTTGAAGTCCTAAAAAGATGTTCATCTCACCCATTATGCTCATTTTAAAACGAGAAACCATTAGGGCAGAAAAGTTTTTGTAGTATTTAGGGTTCGTAGATCCAAATATTATATCAACTACATAAATTTGTATCAAAATAATATCTGACTTCTCTTTTTTAATAAAAAGAGTGGTGTCGATGTTACCTTTCGAGAAACCTGATTTTACTAGAAATTATGATAAAATGTCGTACAAGGCTCTCGGTGCTTGTTTAAGACTGTATAAGGCTCTGTCAAGAATATTTACATGATCATGCTTTGACTCATCCACAAAACCTTCCGTTTGAGCAACATAGACTTCTTCTTTGAGAAGACCATAAAGAAATGCCGTCTTGACGTCCATCTAGTACACCATGAAATTCTTGTGAGCAGCGTATGCCAAGAACATCCTTATGGCTTCGATCTGTGCTACCGGGGCAGAGGTTTCATCGTAGTCAATACCTTCTTGCTGATTGTATCCTTTTGCGACAAGCCAGGCCTTATTTCTGACAACAACTCCGTTTTCTTCTTTTTTATTCTTGAAAACCCACTTTATACGGATAATCGTCTTATTACTGGGACGCGGAACCAATCTCCAAACTTTTAATGCTTCAAACTGATTCAGCTCCTCTTGCATCGCAATTATCCAGTCCGGATCTGCTAAGGCTTCAGACACCTTAGTTGGTTCAATATTGCTTAAGAAAGTGGAGTAAAGACACTCATTCGTAGAAGTAGACCGAGTTCGAGTAAAAGCAGTTGGATCACCAATAATTTGATGTATTAGATGATCTCTGGTCCACTTTTTGCTATGAGGTAGGGGAATATATGAACTTTGATCAGAATTTTGATCAGTATAATCATTGGAAGAATTATTCGTAACAGGTTCAGGTGAAGGTTCATTGTTTGGAACTGAAATAGGCTGAATATCTGACTGAGGTAAGGTGTTTTCATCTTGAATGACCGACACCTCTGGCAAATTAGTATTTGAGCTCTCTTCACACTGAACTAGACAATCAAGAGTTTCCATTTGTATCTCTTCATCAATATGTTCTAATTCTTCTTCAGTTTCAGTTACTAGAACATCAACAGATAGACCAGATAACTGTTGTTTAGATTAAACATCCTTGGACAAATCATTGGACTTATTAGGTTTATTATCAAAATATTCATCGTAAAATTTTTCAAACAAAGAATCTAAATCATAAAGATTAGAATCTGAGGATTCATTGATATAAGCATTCCGCGAAGTGTTAATTATCARACCGGGTCCTGAACCGTTTTGTTTAGAAGCCACATCAATCACTTCATCAAATGATACGTTGACGCTCTCATTGATGATTTTCGTTTTTATGTTGTAG